TGAATGTGGTAAATCACAAAACTGCATTCAGGATGAATGTTGAATGTTGTATTTTACCTTGCAGTGGTATTTAAATTTTTTTTGTTTGTCTTTTTGAGACAGGGTCTCCCTCTAGCCCCAGCTGTCCTGGAGCTCACTAGGTAGACCAGGCTGGCCTTGAACTCACAGAGATCCGCCTACCTCTGCATCCCAAGTGCTAAATACTTTTTTTTTTTTTAATTTTATTTTATGTGTGTGAGTGTATTGCCTGCATGTATGTGAGTGCACCCAAGTCCTGCAATGCCTGGGAGGTCAGAAGAGGGCTTCGGATTCCCCTGGAACTGGAGTTCGTAGCCGCCGTGTGGGTGCTGGGAATCAAACCTGCGTCCTCTGCAAGAACAGTGTTCTTAACCTCTGAGCCATCTCTCCAGCCTGCAGCTGTATTTTAAATTAAATATATTACAGGTGGAAACAAAGTAAGTTGCCTAACAACGTGGCACATGGTTGGAAAAACTTAATTGTAGTCATACATCCAAAAGCCAAAAGAATGCTATTCACAAATAACATCCCTTTGAATATTTAAAACACTGCATTTGAAGCAGAGCAGTTGTGGCTCACGTCTTTAATCCTAGCACTCAGGAGGCAGAAACAGGTTGATCTTTGTGAGTTCAAGGCCAGCCTGATGCTGGGGCTACAGAGAGAACCTGTCTCAGAAAGACCAAAAAAATTAAAAACAAAACTACTGTATTTTGGGTCTGACCATGGGGATATATGCCTGTAATACCAGGTCTTGAGAGGCTGAGGCAAAAGGATCACAAGTTCAAGGCCAGCCTGGGTTTGGTAGTGAGACTCTATCAAAGTAAAAACAAAAAACAAATCCTGTAATTTCATTATCCAGAACATTATATACCAGAAGATTTTTTGGGGGGGTTGTTTTATACTTGTTTGGGGCTTTTGTTGTTTGTTTGACTTTTAGTTAAGTATAATGTTGATTGGGTAAACAGACATTAGTTTGAAGAGTTTGGAAAAGCACTCTTTCATCAAAGTTTAGTATTTTTGTATTATAGCATATAAATATTCACTTATCGATATTCACTTAAAATATGTAAATAAAAGTTCTGGTAATTAAAACTAAAATCAGTTCAAATCAGCTTTGATCACTACTGAGTTTAGAAAAAAACGGTTTTTGGGATTTCAAAATTCTTGAATCCATCATTAAAAACATAGGACTTTGGGGGCTGGGAAGATGGCTCAGCAGTTAAGAGCACTCACTGCTCTTTCAGAGGACCCTGGTTCAGTTCTTAGCGTCCATATAGTGGCTAACAACCATCTGGAACTCCAGTTCCAGGGGTTTCAATTTCCTCTTCTGGCCCCCACGGGCATTGCACACACAGTGCAGTTACATGCACGAAGGCAAAACACTCATACAGAAACAATAAAACAGAGGACTTTGTATTTTATAGGTTGAGAAATCACACGATAGACCAGAAATGCTTAAAGTGTAAAAAATTTTACTCTCCAAATAATTGTTTAAAGGATAAGAGTCTGTCTTTTTTTCTCCAAGGTACTGAGCCTGGATCTTTACTCAGGCATAAGTTTTGTTGGTTGTTTATTTTGTTTTGCTCTTGAGACAAGGTCTCACTAAATTGCCTTGGCTGGCCATAAACTTGACTATTTTGCCTCCCACCTCCCATTCTAGGATTATAGGCATGTAGCACTTCACCCAGACCTGGCTGGGTTTTTGTTGTTTTTTGTTTTTAAAAGTTTATTGGGGGAGAAGGGGGGGATATTTATTTGTTTATTTATTTTTTAACATTGCTGAGAATTATACCCAGGACTTGCATATGCGAGACAAGCAGTAGAACACTGCTGAGCTATATTCCTAGCCAGACATATGACATGAAAGCATATTAATCATCAACAACAGTGAATTATGGGCCAGCTAGATGGTTTAGTGGTTAAAAGTGCTTGCCCTGCAAACCTGACAAGAGTTAGAGCCTGAGACAAAGTTTCCTTGTAGCTTCAAATGGCCTGGAACAGTGTAAACCAGGAGGGCCTTGATCTCATAGTGATCTGTCTTTAATTCCCCAAGTGTTGGGATTAAAAGACTGTGCCAATTTTTTTTTTTTTTTTGGTCTTTTTGAGACAGGGTCTCCCTGTAGCCCCACCTGGCCTGGAACTCACTATGTAGTCCAGGCTGGCCTTGAACTCACAGAGACCTGCCTGCCTCTGCCTCCCAAGTGCTGGGATTAAAGGCGTGTGCTACCATGCCTGACTGTGCCAAGTCTTGAAAGTTGTCTTCCTACCTCCACAGCTGTGCGTTGGGATTCTCAACACCTGCACCACATACACAGTAATAAAAAGTAAACAATTTTTAAAAAAGATTTTTTTTTTGGTATTTTGCCTGCCTACATATATGTATGTGTGTATGTATGTGTACCATGTGTGTTCCTAGTGCCTGAGGAGGCCAAAAGAGGGTGTTGCGTCCCTTCAAACTCAAATTACAGACAGTTATGAGCTGCCATGTTTGTACTGGGATCCTCTGTAAGAACAGCAATCCAAGGCCGGGTGTGGTGGCGCATGCCTTTAATCCCAGCATTTGGGAGGCAGAGGCAGGCAGATCTCTGTGAGTTCAAGGCCAGCCTCGTCTACATAGTGAGTTCCAGGACAGCTGGGGGCTACAGGGAGACCCTGTCTCAAAAAGACCAAAAAAAAAAAAAAGAAGAGCAATCCACCTCTCCAGCCCCATTAAAAAAAAGAAGAATAGTGAATCATTTTGTTTACTTTGTATTTACTAGTCAGCCTTCTGATTATATGTTAACCAGGTTTCCTGAGGATCTTTATTTTATTATTTTTATTTTATGTACGTATGAGTGCATTGGCTGCATTTGTGTAAGGGCACCCATGTCGTGCAATGCTCACAGAGGTCAGAAAATGTCAGATGCCCTGGAACTGGAGCTATAGGTAGTGAGTACTGGGAATCAAACCTGGATCTTCTGCAAGAATAGCCAGTGCTCTTAACTGCTGATCCATCTCTCCAGCTCCTGGCATACTGATTTTAAAACCATTTTATGTATTTGAGGAATTGATAACATGCCAACTATTTCCTGTTAGGAAAACTTAATGGAAGTAAGTTTCTTTCTTTTTTTTTTCAGATTTATTTTTAAGGAATGGAGAGATGGCTCAGCTGTTAAGAGCGCTGGCTGCTCTTGCAGAGGTCCCTGGTTCAGTTCTTAGCACCCACATGGTGACTGACAGCTGTGTATAACTCCAGTTCCAGGGGAATCTGATACTGTCTTCTGATCTCCAGTGGCATTGCTCAACACATACATGCAGGCAATATACTCACACAAAGATAAAAATAATAAAATAATTTTAAAATAAAAGATTTATATTTAGTTATATATATGCATATCTCTATGTGTGTATGTACAGGTGCCCATGAAGGCCAGAGGCATTGGATCCCCTTGGAGCTAGAATTACAGGTGGTTTGTGAGCTGCCTACCTAGGTGGCTGGGAATAGAATAGGTCCTATGTAAGAGCAGCATGTGCTCTCTTACTATTGACCCATCTCTCCAACCCTGAATGTAAATTTCTTTTTTTCAGTTATAAAAACTGAAACAATTATTAATAATTTTCCTAATTACTTAATGTTTTTTTTTTCACTTGATTATAAGTCTCACATATAGGAACTGGGTCTGTTGAGTATATACTTTATTTTCAGGGCATAGTATAATGCCTGTGAATGAATTCAGAGTTAAGAGTGTGTGGAGGCAACAAAGATTATTTCTGAGAGTCCTAACCTATACATCCTGATGATTTTTTTAAATAAAGTGTTTGAATGCTGATACCCACTTAAAACCAGTAAAATAATTCTTTTTTTATTTTTATTTTTTGGTCTTTTTGAGACAGGGTCTCCCTGTAGCCCCAGCTGGCCTAGAACTCACTATGTAGACTGGGCTGGCCTTGAACTCACAGAAATCTGTCTGCCTCTGCCTCCCTAGTGCTGGGATTAAAGGCGTGCACCACCATTCCCAGCTAAGAATAATTCATTTAATGAAACTTCCTATGTTTAAAATGTAGGAAAATATGTTCCTTTGAAATTGAGGAGTTCTTATGCATGGCATGGTGGTGCACATTTGTAATCCCAGCATTCTAGAGGCTGAGAAAAGATCTGGTGGAGGTTGGGTGTGGATGGAGAGGACAGAGAGAGAGCTAAATATGTGAAATTATTTTTATCTTAGCTTGATTTTTTTATTATTATTTTTATTCTGTGTGTGTGTATTGCCTGTGCGCAGGTAAGTGCACCCATGTCGTGCAATGCCTGAGGAGGACAGAAGAAGCTGTCAGATCCCCTGGAACTGGAGTTAGGACAGTTGTTAGCTGCCATGTGGGTACTGGGATTCGAACCCTGGTCTTCTGCAAGAACAACCAATGTTCTTAACAGATGAGCCATCTCTCCAGCCCCATTTGGTTGATTCTTAATTTTTTTTTTTTTTTTTAAGAGATGGGCTCTCAAGCCAGATCTGGTGGTGCACACCTGTAATCTCAGCACTTTAGAGATGGAGGCAGCAGGATCAGGAGGTCAAAATCATCCTTGGCTATATAGCAAGTTCAAGGCCAACCTGAGTTACATGAGACCCTGTCAAAAAACTAAGAGACACAGAGATACTGATCTTGCTGAATAGTCTAGGCTGACCTCAAACTTGGGATTTTCTTGCCTTAACCTCTGAAGTGCCTATGACTGTAGATACATGCTACCATGCGCCTTTGTAACAGTGATTCTTAAATTTTGATTTGTACGAGAACATTATAGCTTGTTCATGGTATCTATAAATTGATAATGTTTGAAATTTTAAGTGACTTTATAAGTAACTGAAAATGTATGTATTCTGAACTGCATTTTGATTTAAGTGATTTTTGATTGCTTGTTACTTTCTTGTCCCACTTGTCCTTACTGCCCATTTGTCATGCTAATCATTTCTCCATTTTCTGATAAATTTTTCTTATCTATCCTGCAGAGAAAGAGATGCTGATTGCAAGTTTTGGAAAACCCTGTTTTTTATGGAACACTGTTCTGTACAAACTTCATTAAGATTCCGTGGCAATAATATACACTTGTGATGGACCCTAGGAATACTGCTATGTTAGGATTGGGTTCTGATTCCGAAGGTTTTTCAAGGAAGAGTCCTTCTGCCATCAATACTGGCACTCTGGTCAGCAAAAGAGAAGTAGAAATAGAGGTTAACACCAAAGAAGAAGAGGATCCTCGCAAGCGGAATCGAGAAAAAAACATTGAAGTAGGAAAAGACGATGGTTTGACTGATTCACAGCAACAGTTTTCAGTGAAAGAAACAAACTTCTCAGAGGGAAATTTAAAACTGAAAATTGGCCTTCAAGCCAAGAGAACTAAAAAACCTCCAAAGAACTTGGAGAATTACGTATGTCGACCTGCCATAAAAACAACTATCAAGCAACCAAGGAAAGCACTTAAAAGTGGGAAGATGACAGATGAAAAGAATGAACACTCTCCTTCAAAGTGGGTAAGTGAATTTTCCAGCCATGCATGATCATTAATACTTGAATTTCTCTGTTAATTTACATCTTAACCTAGATACACATTCTAGGAAGTTTGATCTTAATTCTTTAAAATTAACTTTTTCGTTGGGCATGGGGGCACATGCCTTTAATCCCAGCACTTGGGAGGCAGAGGCAGGTGGATCTCTGAGTTCAAGGCCAGTCTGGTCTACATAGTGAGTTCCAGGACAGCTGGGGCTACAGGGAGACCCTGTCTCAAAAAGACCTGAAAAAAAAAAAATATATATATATATAATATATATGTATGTATATGTATATATGTATATATAATCACATCTGCTTTAAAAAATTGTGTGTAATGTGTCTATATGTATGTGAGAGGTGTGCAAATAAATGCCACAGCACACATGTAGAAGTCATAGAACAACTTTATGGATTTGGTTTTTGTTTTCTACCCTCACATGGTTTCTGGGGATTGAACTCAGGTCAGGTTTGTATGGCAAATGCATTTATCCTCTGAGCCATGTCTCAGGTCTACAGGCAATGTCTACATTTGTGTTTGTAAAATTATGGCAGATGTTTTAAATGGAGCATACTCAGATTATTGCTCCTAATGTGACCATGGGAAAAATAAACCTTAGAGATTATAGTTAGGAAACCTAGATTTGAAACTTGTCTTCCTATTTATGTAGTGACTCTGTGAACTCAAAGATGGTTACAATAACACCTCTTCTAAGATGATTGAAAGGATGAGATTTGCTAACATTTAAAGGTCTTTTAAAATGAATTTTAAAAACAAATATTTTATTTATTATTTTTATTTTATGTGTATGTGTATATTGTCTGCATGTAGGTAAGCGCACCCGTGTTGTGCAATGCCAAACAAGGAAGACAGAGGAGGCTGTCAGATCCCCTGGAACTGGAGTTGTGGACAGTTGTTAACTGCCATGTGGGTTCTGGGATTTGAACTCCGGTCTTCTGCAAGAACAATCAGTGTTCTTAACTGCTGAGCCATCTCTCTAGCCCCTAAAATGAATGTTTTATAAAGTATATGTGTTGTTCACAGTATACATCTGTACTCTTTGCTTCTCTGGAAAATGAGGCAGGAACATTGCTTGATTTCACAAATTTGAGACAGAAGACCTAGCTCCTAATTTTTTATTTTTGAGACTGCTATGGCATCTCAGCCTTGCCTAGAATTCATAAATCCTGTTTCCTAAGTCTCACAAGTGCTAAGATTACAGGTGTGCTCCACCACTCCCATCTTATTATCATTCTTTTTTTTGGTTAATTTTAAAATCTTTTTGTATGTGTGTTTTGCTTGCATGTATGTAAGTGCACCACCTTAGTGCCACAGAGGCCAGAAGGGGATATCAGATCCCTTGAAACTTGCAACTATAGCTGTGGACAGTTGTTAGTTGCTATGTTGGTGCTGGGAACCCAACCTGGGTCCTCTGCAAAAACATTAAGTGCTCTTAACGACTGAGCCATCTCTCCAGCCCCCATTGTGGTTTTTTTTTTTTTTTGCTTTTTCTGAGACCAGGTCTCCCTGTAGCCCCAGCTGTCCTGGAACTTACTATGTAGACCAAGCTGGCCTTGAACTCACAGAGATCCGCCTGCCTCTGCCTCTAGAGTGGTGGGATTAAAGGCGTGTGCCACCATGACCAGCACCATTCTGTTTTTTTGTTTTTTATTTTAATTGGGGAGGAGGGGGTATGTGCCACATTGTGCTTGTGGAGGTCTGATTGGAGAACAATGTTATGAGTCAGTTCTCTCATTGGCCTTTATTACCATTAATTCATTCTTCACTGTGAAGTTTGTGTGTTTTGTTTTTTGTTTGTTTGTTTTCTTGTTTTTTGGTCTTTTTGAGACAGGGTCTGCCTGTAGCCCCAGCTGGCCACTGGCCTGGAGCTTGCTATGTAGACTAGGTGCGCCTTGAACTCACTGAGAACCCGAGTGCTGGAATTAAAGGTGTGTGCCACCATACCCAGCCTAGTGTGCTTTCTATATTTCATGAAATTATGGTTCAGACTGCAGAATTGCTGTGGCATCTGAGGGGGTGGAGGCTTGGGGAGAATGAATATGTGTGTTGTAGCTCTGACTTTCCTTGAATCTTGCTTTTCAGCCAAGGCTTACCTTGAACTCTTTATCCTCCAGCCTCTACCTCCTAGTGTTGGGGTTACAGGTGTGGGCCAACCTACCTGGCTAGAATTTTGTGTTTGGTTTTTTTTAGGTGGTACTAGGGATTGAACCCAGAGCTTCCCACATGCTAAGCAAGTGCTTTACCACTGAACTGAGTTGTATATCCACTGTTTTTTTTAAATGTTATAGGATTTATGCTGGGCGTGGTGGCTCATGCCTTTAATCCCAGCACTTGGGAGGCAGAGGCAGGCGGATCTCTGTGAATTCGAGGCCAGCCTGGTCTACATAGTGAGTTCCAGGTCAGCTGGGGCTACAAGGAGATCCTGTCTCAAAAAGAAAAAAAAAAAAAAATTATAGGATTTGCCAAATTGCCCAGGCTATCCTTGAATGTACTTTGTACTCTAGGCAGGCCTTGAACTTTCCTGTCTTACCCTTCTGAGTAGCTAGGACCAGAGGACTGTGACACTGGGCCCAGTCTCACTAGAATTTTTTTTAAAGATATTTTTATTTTTATTTTATTATGTGCACATATATAAGTGCACCCATGTCATGCAATACCTGAGAAGGTCAGAAGACAGTGTTAGATTCCCCCAGGGAGTTCTGGATGGTTGTTAGCTGCTATTTGGATCCTAGGAACTCAACCCAGATCCTCTGCAAGAGCAGCCAGTGCGCTTAACCGTTGAGCCATCTATCCAGCCCCCAGAATTTCCTTTTTTAAATTTATGTGTTGAGTGTTATTCTTGCATGTGAGTGCACCCCACTGTGGTCAGTACATCCCTTGGGCAGATCATTTTGCCTTGTGTAAGAAAGCAGGCTGAGGGTCTGGAGAAATGGCTCAGAGGTTAAGAGCACTGACTGCTCTTGCAGAGGACCCGGGTTCGATTCCCAGCACCCACATGGCGGCTATGAACCGTCCTTAACTCCAGTTCCAGGGGAATCTGAAGCCCTCTTCTGACCTCCGGGGCATTGCAAGACACGGGTGCACTCACATACATGCAGGCAATACACTCATACACATAAAAATAAAAATAATGAAATATTTTTAAAAACAAAGTAAAAATAATAAATCTTAAAAAAAGAAAGGCTGACACATGTGCATATACCTAAATGCAGGCATAACACTGGGATTCAAACCTGGGTCTTCTGCCAGAACAGTCAGTGTTCTTAACTGCTGAGCCATCTCTCCAGCCCCCTTACAGCTTTTTTTTTTTGGTCTTTTTGAGACAGGGTCTCCCTGTAGCCCCAGCTGTCCTGGAACTCACTATGTAGACCAGGCTGGCCTTGAACTTGCAGAGATCCTCCTGCCTCTGCCTCCGGAGTACTGGGATTAAAGGTGTGCGCCACCACACCCAGCTTTAAATGTAAAAATTTTAAACACCAAGAAATGCTCAGGTCATGTATGTATTTGCTGTGTGAGCATAATCAGTGTTCACACTGTAACTTGGCAGCCCCGCACTGCATTGAGAGAGGCCAGACAAGCAGGAGCCCTGCACTGCTTCTCCACTCTTCAGTTGGAAGGCAGCTGTCCTTGGAGGGAGATGCCAAAACCAAAGGCCTCATGGAGGAGGACCTTAAAGTCCTTCTACTGCAGATCAAGCACCAGAGGTTATGAAGCAGGATTTCCACACTGAGAAGAGCTTTCTGAGCCTGTATACAGATGGAAACCAAGTTTACTAATGTTTTGATTAACTCCCTAATAATTGTTCATATTTATAGGTGCAGAATACAATGTTATAATTTATGAATACAATGAAATGACAAAATCAGAGTAATTAAACAAGTTAGTAATCTTTAAAAAAAAAAACGAAATGAAAGCAGGCTGAGCTGGGTGTGGTGGCACATGCCTTAATTTCAGCACTTGGGAGGCAGAAGCAGGTGGAGCTCTGTAAGTTCAAGGCTATCCTGGTCTATATAGTGAGTTCCAGGCTAGCTGGGGCTACAGGAAGACCCTGTTTCAAAAAGATAAAATAAAATAAAAAGCAGGCTGAGCATGAGCTAGGTGAGCAAACCAGTAGTAAGCAGCGTTCCTCTATGGCCTGTGCCTTAGCTCCTGCCTCCGAGTTCCTAAGTTGGGCTCCCAAAGTGATGAACTGTGAATTGGGAAATGTAAATCAAATAAACCCTTTCCTCCCCAAGTTAGTTAATGGTCAGAGTGTTTCGTCACAACAATTGAAGACAAGCTAGAACATCAGGCATGGTGGTATGGAACACTGGGGGATCTAGAATTTGAGGTCAGCCTGAGCTCCAAAGCAAGATCGAGTCTCAAACAAAAAGTGTGTCTGGGGCCGGCAGGATGGTTTCATTGGGTAAAGGTACTTGCCACACTAGCCTGGCTATTGAGTTTGATTACTGTAAACCACATAAAGGTGAAAGAAGATAACCCACTCCACAAAGTTGTTCTTTGACCTCCATTACTTGCAATGATATGTCCATGCACCCCCCCCCAATAATTCTCACACACAAAATAATTTTTTAAAAAATTGTGAGTGTGGTGGCACATGAGTGTAACACCACTACTCAGAAGTCAGAAATAGGAGGATTGACACAGATCTGAGGCCAGCCTGATCTTTATAGCAGGTTCAGGGTTGGCCAGGATTACTTAGTGAGAACCTATCTGAAAATAAAACAACAAACAAACAAAAAAGAGGAGCCAGAGAGATGGTCTATACAGACACTTGCCACCAAGCCTGATGACTTGTGTTTGATCCCCGCATCTACGTGGTATAAGGAAAGAACCAACTCCACAAGTTGTCTTCTGACTTTCACGCATGCACTGTGGCATGTTTGTGCCCTCTCGCTCCCCCCCCCCTTCTCTAACACACACTAAATATAATTTTAAAATTATTTTAGTCAGAAAACAAAG